TAGATTAATAGAGGAGAAAAAAAAAAAAAAAAAAAAAAGATCAATAGAGGAGGAGTTTCAATGGTATTTAAGAAGCTTAGCTCTCTTTCAATGTTTTGTATCAATACTCGAGAGAGATTTCAATCCAATAAAAACAGGTATCATTATCATCAGCTATCCTTTGAGCGAACCAATCATGAATTCTTGGTCAAGAGCACATATAAATATCTTAGTGGTCTGCAGTTTTTGGAGTTTGGTCTTAAAGGGAAATAACAACATTAATAGAACAAAACAGAGCTTCTTATAGACAACGTATACGTATATACTCTCAGACATCACAAAACAGTCATAGAGTGAGTCTATGGCATTACAGTACAGACCACAAACAGGGTAACATTTAAAAAAGAAAACAGTTCACTCTCTTTACTTCTTGTAATTGTGTACAGGTATAATAACTTAACAAAGATTTTGATTCGACTCAGCAAGATTATGATGATGATAATGAATGCTTACCTTTGGATCTGAGACGTGGTCTGAGCTAGAACAATGTCAGAATTCGTCAGGTTTCCAGATTCATCGTAATCGAGTTGCTCAAACTCTTCCATGATCCCAGCTATATCTTTCTCATCAATCTTCCCCATTTCTTTCAGCTTATATACAATAAACTCCGCGGCACTGAAACACACACAAAATACAAAGATAAGAAGAAACAGAAGAGAGAAACAAGTCAGAGAATGTCTCACCCAACAACTCTATCTTCATCAAGATCAGCTGCTTCAAGATCATTGTTTGTGATTCACCTTGTCAAAACCCATTTCACTAACTCCTTCTGTTTGGTTTCTGCATTTAACTCAGCTACATAGAGTAGAAACTGAGCCAAACATATAGTACTCGTCAAGATCCAAAACACAGCAAAAAGACGTCCAGTTCCAGAGTTAAAGCTCTTGTCTCCATAACCCAATGTAGTAACCGTCGAGCAAACACAGTAAAAGGCTTCAATAACCGGCATTTTCTCATACATTACAAGGAAAACAGTACCAGCAATGAAGAGGACTACAAGGATAATGAAAGTGACATAGCATTTGTATCTCAACTTGTTAGTTTGCAACTCCTTGAGAATGTCTAGCGGACCAGAGCTTTGACGCAAGTGGAAAGCCCTAACCAGTAACGTCTCTTGCTTCTCAACTAGATAATCCGCTGCTCGGCTTAGAAGGTGACCCACTAGTACCATTCCTGAGAAGACAAAGGCACAAGCGAGTAGCCTCGAGGTAGAACTACTAGGGACAAGGTCACCGTATCCAACAGTTGTCATTGTTACAACACAAAAGTAGACAGCATCCAACACACCATTGGTCTTGTGACCAGAGATCTGGTTTCTCACGAGGTAGAAACAGAGAGTACCAATGGTTAGGTATAGAGCCAAGAAGATGATGACTCGCCTGAGGTTTGGGTTTAGATCCCTGAACAATTGACTGGGATGAAGAGGGGGTTCGTCGGTTTTGAAATCATTATCGTCGTACGTGCAATCACCACGAGGAGCGCTTCTAGAGCGACGCAGTCTTCTTTTGCTTGAAGAGGTTCTTGATTTGTTGTTGAAGTCTTGAGCCATGGGATCTAACTGATCCTTTGGTAACAAGGGATCACGAGCTGAATCGGCACTTGATGACATTCTATAACCAAAACAGGTGATTATGATCTCTGCAGATCAGTCAAATCTCTTTGTCAGTTACGATTTTTAAAACCAAAAGAGGCAGACAACACAGTCTTTTATAGAAATAGAAACTGTGCGAGCTAATACTAAAATTGTAAAACAACCATAAATCAGTACAAAGGAAAAAACTTATAATGGAACAGAACTGAGACACAGCTACAGATTAAGACCAAACAACAAAGAAAGGAAAGTTGTTTGGGTGAGAAGAGACAAGACAGTAAACAGAAAATTTTAAACAAAGACTATTTCAGACAAGTATCTTGGGGAAGCTGAAGACTTGAGACTTACCCGATTGAAAAAAAAATCAGTCAATAAGCGGTTTGCTTGGATCTCACAACAATCGTTCTTCGGCTATGTTACCACTTCACACAGAATTTTGTTTCCGGTTCGTACCACTTATGTATAATGGTTTTTCATTTTCAACCTTGTTAATGTTTACAGTACATAGTATATTCTATATTCATCTTATAAGTTAATACTTATTCAACTTTTATTTTCTACAATAATTTGGTTTAATTAAAAGCTAAGAAGTCAATAATAGACTCGTCACTTACATGCCGCTATGTGTAATGTACAGCATATTGTAGTTCATATTCTCAAATGTCAATTAATAATATATCTAACCATTTCCAATTATTGATGCCATTTAATAATGCAGTACATGACTTAGCCAACTCAATTCCATCCATATCAAAATGGTTACTCTAAGATAATTTCATTTCGCAAGGGACTTCACTTTTTTATTTAGTTTATCCTCCAAAATGAAATAAAAGAAGAGGCTGGCGTGTTTGATCAAAAAAAAAAAAAAAAAAAGAGGCTGGCGTGACAACATCCTCGTATTTAGTCTTTTAATGAATTATCAAATAATAACAAGCAAGAAATTATACAATAATATTTAAATAGTTTAAGACTTACATACTTATATATTATTTTAGATTTTTTTTATATTTATATCAGTGGATCAATTTTATTTCTTTATTGTTATTTGAAAACTATATTGAAATACCAAGAATTTGGAATTTGAGTTTTGGCTACTATTTTTTTAACCATTGTAATTTCGAATAACTAGTCCAGAAAAAAAAATATAAGATAAATTCCAGACTAAAGAAATCTCTAGTAAAACAACAATTAAGACGCTATTGTTTTTTTTCTTTAATTGATTTTGGGTTACAAATTGCACTTAATTACTGTGTAGTTAAACAATAAAGCTTAACTATTGCGCTAAAATCCACGTCCATGAATCCATGATGTATCATATTTCTTAATTTTAGTTTCATTCACAATGTCGATTCGTCGAATGTATCATTGACCAAAAAATATTTAATACTAACAATTTGTTGATGAGGTATCCATGTGATGCTTGCAGTTTAGACCGATTAAAAATAGATAATTAGATTATCATAAATCTACTTTTTTTGTCAATCGATTATCATAAGTCTTTGATAGATAACATTGTTAGGATATTGTTAAGCAAAAGAAAACATTGTTAGAATAAAATATTATTAATTAATGTACTCACGGTGTACATATGTGTAAATAACATGCTTCAAACTTCTTCATGTAACAGATATAAACGTACATAACACACAAACATGATTACTAAGTGATTGACATGTCTCGTGATTAACTTAGTTCTAAAACATTTAGTAATTTTAGGCGTCGGCGAAGAGAGAGATTTGGATTTTCAAACACCAAACATAAATAAACTCTAAAGCTGATCAGGCCAGAGAAATGACTCCATTGCAAAGACCCTTTTGTCTTCAAGAGATCCTTCGAAGGAGATTCCATATTGTGTGAGGAGCAAGTCAAGGGTGAGATCATCCATGGCTTCGTAATCAGACTTGGAGTATTTAGGGTAGTGAAGAGGAACTTGAAACCCACTTGGAAATTTCTCTTTCTCCATCATCTTTATTTTGTTGTGTCTGCTTACCAAGTTTCTGGTTTGATTGGTTTGGTTTGATGAGCAGCCAAACATTTGAGTGAAAGCCGAGGGTATTAGACATTTCATTCCCATTGTGTCTGGTTGGTTTAAAGTGTTTACAAAAAGGAGGTTTCGAGATCAAAATCAAGAGGAAGGGAGAAGAAGAAGCTGAAACTCAAAGGGAAGCTTGGAGAATTGGTTCTAGTAAAGCGGGCAAAGACTTGAATTTATACACATATAAACTCCCCGTGGCTTTTCTAGCATCAACCAATGATGATGGTACATGCATTGCTTTTTCTATGTGGGACCAAGAATAAAACGGTTGGAGTATATTGTGGCTTGGTGTGCAAGGAGAAGGAAGAAGAAGTAGGTGAAAGTATTTAATGTATACATATTAAAGAGGGAGGCCCCTTCTTTTCAATTAAGACAATCGAATTATTTGGGGCCATTCATATGAGTTTCATGTTTTTGTGGTCGTGGTGATGATGTGTCTAGCTTTACAACATTACAATTAAAAATATCTCACCTTTAAGCCTATGATCATGGGATTTATTCAATTTTTAGGTTTACACAGCATATATCAAATAAATCAGAGTGTAATTACCTATAAATTTTGTTGCCACAACGATTTTGAGAAAAAAAAAACTTATTCGATCCTTAAAAGTAATTAGTGAAATGCTTTTGACTTTGTAACCAACCAGAAAGGATCTTAATCATTGCGTAATAAGTTCTCGATTCAAGTGATTGTTAAAAAAAAAACTAATACTCCTTATGTTTCGTAATAAATATTATTTTAGATTTGTATATATAAATTAAAAAACAATTAATTTTTATATTTTTATATAAAACACACAATTATCAATATATCTAATCACATTTTAATCAATACAAAAATAAATTACATAATAAAATTAATAAATTTTCTATTGAAAATCAAAAATGCTATTTATTTTATAATGAAATTTTTTTCTAACAACACCTAATATAAAAAGGAGAGTATTACATGTGTGTTTTAGGTTTGTAAGATTACGAGATTCTCGATCCCCAACCTTTAGGTATTAAAAAACATGTTTCTCTTTCTAACTTTTTTTTTTGTCAACATTTCTCTTCGTAACTTTATCAGTGACATGTTAGCGATCACATAAATTTGTAGTAGTGAACTTTATTGGAGTACTGCAGGAGTCACAGACTAACACGCCTAACCATGTTTGTGTGTTTTTCTTTTTGGTAAGAGAATTTCTGAGTACGAGAAGTTAGATGATTCGTCCAAAGCAATCGGTTTGTGTAACAGAATAACATGTTTAGTTACAAGAGTAAAAACGAAAGAAGTAACAAGATCTAACATCAAATCCAGGGAAAAAATAAACACCCGACTTATTGAACTGTTGTCAGAAGACATTTTGTGAATCATTCGGGTGAGTTGATCAAAAAGTTTACAAGGTTTCAGTGAAAACCATAAGAAAAAAATTCAGAAAAAGCAAGCTTTTGATTTCATTTTGGATCGTCAAAGTTGAAGAATTCAATTTCCACATAAAAAGTTAACCATCAGCTTGAAGAGTCTTCTGCAAGCAAATCGAAACAACCATCGGACCAGCCAGGTCCCCCAACGCGCAGCCTAGATTATATAAAAAAACATAACATCATCAATCACTGTTCCAAACAAAAAGAAGAGAAATTACATCAGGGTTATCAGTGTCTTACCGATCCATTGTCCCGTGGAGGGACGCATGAGGCAAGAGCAGATACCAGCTCCAATGGCAGCAAATACTAAAGAAGCACCACATCGAACTGTGATACCCACAACTTTGTTTCCAAGATCCTTGGCTTGCTCTGCTATCTCCACCTGTCCCTCTTCTTCTTCTTCGGGATTGGGTTTAACATACCGGACCACACATCTGTAGATTTCTATGCCTACTTGAACTGTCCATGATGCTGCAATTCCGAGGAAGTGTCCTGCGTAAAACAAATTCAATGACCAAACATATATATGCTCGTTAGGAAAGTTATGGTAAAACCAAACAATGGCTGATCTTAAGACAGAACAAGCTTTTGATGAAAAGGTCACGGTCCAAAGTATCTGTTACCATACCTCTAAGAGTTGTCTGGCTGACTTTATAGATGTATAAATGTGTAGGCCACCCTCTCCCAGCCTTGCGTAAAGTTGACTGAGGCACATCTACATATATGCAATATAGTGATCAGTTCACCGAGCTAATATGTTATATATTTGGGATTATAATAAAAAGTTTTCTATTTGATACTTTGGAAAGAAAAATAACAAAAGATGATGTTACCCTTTAGAAGTTTCCATGCCACACGCTGTGAGACATAACTAATAGCCAACCTTTCAAGGACTCTCCTAGTGGTCACAACTGTGGTCTATGGATCATATACACCCAAAACCAGCAGTTAAAATCATGATACATACAAACAAGAAAAAAGATTTGTTAAAAACACTAACCTCACGGGCGATCTGCTTGACTGATTTTTTAAGAGGAACAATCAAGTCTGCGCGGCTGCGTTCTTCCGCAGCATTGTTTAGGAAATCATCATCGTCCTCTGAAGCCGGTTTAGGCTCCAAAAGAGGCAGATAAAACATCAAAAGAGATCTCACTGTAGTCATCGCAAGTGCCCTGAACTCAAAGGCAGAGAAGAGTGGTTTTGGTTGGATATTGTAAACCTTAGAGCTAGGAATGTAGGTAGGCGTTTCAAACTGCAAAGCATCCGCAGACACCTTTCGTATAGCTGCAAGGTAATCATCATCTATTGCAGCTGCCGCATCACAATACGCAACTCGTGGCTCAAAAGAACTGTATTAACATGAAAAACATTGAATCATTGATAGGTAAACATATAGTATTAATCATGATTAAGAGATTGATAACATATCTTATTAGATTGCAAAACATGATTTTTACTTGTAGTTGATGTAACATTGGATTAAGAGTGCTGTTTCAGCTCAATCAATACCAAAAGAAAACAAAAAAAAAAAACTAGGCTTTAGATTAACCCTAATCTCAGAAGAGATTCTAGTTATCAATCCAATAATCGTGTCCATCACGATCCAGTCAAAACGTGTGAAAAGTCAAAACAAATAAAAACAGGAGCATCAAGCTCAACAATACATACCCAAAGAGAAACCTAGAGGCGAAAGGAGCAGTGGCGACAGCAGATAAGGCGGCGGTGGAAGATAGAGACGAAGATGAGTGAAAAGTGTGTTTGGTATGAGATTTCTTGAGTAGATCTAAAACTATAGCTATTCCCGCCATTACTATAAGGTTAATCGAATCTCCCGATGCCTCTCAATCAGAAGAAGATGAAGATAAAGAAAGAGTGAATCTACGCTTGGTTATAGTAATTAGCTAGTTGTGGATTTTCTAATCCATTAAAAGAATAATTTTCTCGAGAAAATAAAAAACGTTTTATAAAGCTTCTGTGTTTCTCCGGCAGCTAAAAAGACAAGACAGAGAGAGAGATTCGAAAGAAAAAGAGTTCTGTTGACTTTTCCCTTTTGACATTCTCCCCTTTTAACCCACTAAAGGCCCATATAATCATTAACTTTTGGCCCACTAAAGGCCCACTATGTCCTTCTCTTTCTTCAACAAGCAGCTGCTTTTTGCCAAACCCCTGCAACTTTGAGAGAGAAACCTTAGGATCGGTGTACAAAATCATCTTCATGTGAGATGCCCATTTCGTATATGTCATGCCTAAGCTGATTAC